GCACACTGAGAGGTTTCCTTAGTTGCCTTGCTCTACAGCTGTCCTTTCTGTTCTTTTTGCCCCTAGATGCCGGTAGATGGGGGCTAGGCTCGAGACCGCGGACTTGAGCTGAAAAGCGTGAAGAAAAAAAAAGCCGCCGCCGAAGCAAAATTTGCAGCAGCAGGAAGCTGCAACATTAAGCGAAGTGAGCGTGGCTGCGAGGAGGCCGGACCATGCGCTGACCCACTCTGCGAACACGGCGAACCGGAGCGGCGTTGGGAGTCTAGTCGCGCGTGCCGCACAAGGCGGCGGACGAAGGAGGCGGCTTCGGCACTACGAGGAGACGTGCTGTTGCGCGGTCTTGTGCGCTTGCAAGCTCGTGCCGCGGCTCTGTGCGGGTTCGGCGCCATTTGCGGGGAGCGGCGGCCTGGACTGCTAGTTGTGCTTGGGCAGGTGTTGTGCGCGGCGGCGGTGCCCTGTAGGCATATGGCATGACAACCACGAGATGAAATTTGTTATATGTATGCAAACAATGGGAAACGAATTACCAATAACAATCTAACGCTATGACACGAGGTGGGCAGGAAAAAGGTGTTTTAAAAAAACATGCGTTTAAATGAGTGTGTGTGTGTGTACATGTGTGTATGTGTATATATGTGTATGTGTGTATGTATATATATATATAAAGAGAGAAAGAGAGAAATATACATACACATGTACATGTTCCCAGAAGAAAACCGACCGCCATATGTCATAACCCATGCGGTCGTGGCAGTCTTGGAAACTTTGCGGCTGTGCCATGCTGTGTCTGGCGAAGCAGCACATTCACGGTCGCCCCGCAAGCAATGCGGATCGCAATGCAGTGTCGCCTGCGGCTGCCCCCGCCGTTGTGCCCGATCCGCTGCGGCCCGGACCCAGGTTGTGGCCAGAACGTGGACCAATACGGGAACCACGCCTTCGCCTGCCCACGCACCGGCTCCTGGCCCATCGCCCGTCACGCCAAATCCGTGGAACGCGCATGGGTGCGTGTCGCACACGAAGCGGTGGGCCAGACATCGGCCAACACCCGGCGTGCCGGCAGACGACCGCCTTCTTTGGTTTCGCCTCTCACCACAACGAGGTGCTGCAGATGCCGACGGCGCCGTGTTGAGAGCCGCCGAGCGCCGTAAGCACTCTGCTTACCCGGAGCTAATGGCGGCGGCCGTCAGCAACTCGTCCTTCTCGGCTCTGAGGTTGGGCGCCGCTGGCTTTGTGAGTGACCTCGCATGTTCAACTCCACCCGCCCTCTGGCGCGCGGTAGCCGCCGCCTGGTCGCGCCGTTGGTGGAGCTTGCTCGGGTGGCTGTTAAGCCGTCGACGGCACCAGCGTGAGCCAACTTCTTGGAGCGCGTGCTCGACGCGGCGGTGCACAAGCCCCATGATGCCACCGCGCGGGTGAACGCGGCGAATGACGTAGAGTAGGGTCAGCCTCGACCGGACGGCAACCTGCCAGGCGGAAGAACGTCCGAGGGGGTGTCTAACAAAACCGCTAGCTACCCTTTTTCAGCTGTCCCAGTGATGTAAAGCCCGAGAAAAATTCGTTGCATGTAGAAAAAATGCGACGTATACCACCAAGGCTACTATACTTACTATACTACATCTTGTATTCGTCACCACTCAAGCCACTAGTACTACTCGTACTGTTCGTTTTACAATTACTTCTGCCGCCACACGTCCTACTAGTACGATTGTTGTGCGGTTTCCGCTGGCACGATCTCTACGGCTCGTATCACCTATACTACTATTATTATTCGTGTCACTGGTGGCCGTGCAACCTGGCGGGAATGAGGTGCAGATGATGGTCGGGTTCGTGCTAGTGACTTGTGGTCGTTTTATCGCGCATCGCTGGGTTGCAAAACGCATCGATGAGGGTCCACACTCGGGAAACCGCCTTCAAACAATCACGTCCAGTTGTGAACGATCCGATGGCTCCACGTGGAATCGAAGGCCTGGGTGGGGAATGGTTGGCTGCCATTGACATGCGTTTCGAGTGGCTTGTGCAATCGCGTGTCTCAATTTGATATGGTGTGCTGCCATTGACGTTCGTGTCGACCGGGTGCATGTGGAATCGAGTGTTTACAGGGGAAATATGGGGAATGGCTGGTTTGAATGTGCCGTCATGCCACTGATGTCTGTGTCGAGTGGGCGATTGTGGAATCGAACGTCTAGACCCAAAACCTTAGATTGGGAAGGGCTGGGTTCTATGTATTTTATTTGGTGTGCTGCCACTGATGTCTGTCTCGAGTGTGTGTTTGTGGAATCGAGCGTCTAGATGGGGAATGGCTGGTGTTGACGTGCAGTCATGCCATTGATGTTTGTCTCGAGTGGGCGCTTGTGGAACCATGTGGAACCGAACGTCTAGATAAGGGCTGGCTGGTTTTGATGATGTGTGTTGCCACTGATGTTTTTCTCAAGTGGATGCTTGTGGAATCGTGCGTTCAGACGGGGAATAGCTGGCTGCCACTGATGTGCGTCTCGAGCGGCTTGTGGAATCGAGCGTCTACATTCAAAATGGCGTCGAGCGTGTACATGGGCAGGGTAGTTTTTTGTGCGCTTTGATGTCATGGATGTGCGATTTGAGCGAGTGTTTGTGGAATGTCTTGCTCGTCCCAACCAGTTTCGGAGCGCTTGCATGGGACATCATGGGACTGGCGGGTTTTCGTGTCGTATGAGTCGTGTGATTCCACGGATGTGACCGCTGTATGTCCCGCGGGCATGTTTGTGAAATCGAGCATCTATCACTGGTTTGGACGTGCTGTGATGCCACGAAGAAGTGTTTTGTGCGTGCGGATGCGAATCGAGAGTTTACATGGGGACTAGATGGGACTAGCTGGTTTCGATGTCATTGGTGTTGCTCCAAAGATCCGTGCTCGATAGGTGGACCGCGGTTGCAGCCGAAGGATGAAAGCCGGGAATGTGGATCTGGAGTGCTTGTCGATACGACGAGAAGGGCAGCGTCTACTTGGGGATTCGGCGCCAAAGTGCGCACTAGAATGCAGTGAAAAACACTTGAAAAAAAAAACTTGAAACCTCTGCGTCCGCTGCATGTGCTGAAAATTGGGCTCGTGCGACTCAGCATCTACATGGGGACTGGCATCTGATCACGTGTATTCTCGCGGATGATGTGTAACTCCTTGGAACAGCGTCCACATTCGGGTGACGTGTTTTCCCACCGACGATGTGAGATGAAACCTGCGTTTGCTTGTACGCAAACGGGCAACAGCAAAAAAAGACTGGCAAAACTCGCGATTCGTTGTTAATTTGTTCATCGCATTGTCCCTCACTCAGAATGATTGCGATTCCATGCCCCCCGCATGCAATATTATGTAATCATGTTGTTTCCATCGCTTTGGACCAATCACCGATTCATTGACGTTCATATTGTATGTTCGGGCGCAACATCTCGCCATGGCACTATCAATGGCTTACGCCAGTGTGAAGGCAGCCACCCTCTCGCATGGGCCACCCAACCAGGCAACATTACGGTAAGTACGGTTTGTTTTGCTGGAAGGGTGGTTTTCGCAATTTCCATCGTAGCAGGGCTTGCAACATCTCACGACCTTCATGAACATTGCATCATTCAGCCTCTGGCAAAGGCTTGCCCCCATGCTGTTCGATCTGTTCGTTTTGGTATGCAATTGCGGTTGTAGCCTGTAGGACTCTCCTTCTGCCCGGGGGCCTTTACTCCACGAGCCTCGTGTCATGCTGTTCCTTCGGTGCACACTTTGAGGTCAGCATGCAACTCGGCACTCGCGGCCGCAACATCGCCACATTGAGGTCGGCATTCGCATCGGGGTCGGCACCATATGCGTGTCAGCCCTTGCTGCAACGGGCCGGCAGCGGGCGTCGGGAGTTGCGAGACAGCCAGGCAGCTGCATGCGCGCGGTTTCGTCATGCTCGCACGCGAGAGCATCCGAAGCAGGCAGTTTGCACGGTGGTGCTGCAGAGACGTTTGTCTTCTAGGATTTGTTTTGGCTTGTTCGCTCATTCTGAACACGAGGAATGAGCAGCACCAAGTGTTGTTTTCGTGGACTTTCAAGGAGCCCGGTGCGGCAAGCAGGCAGAAGGATAGGCAATGAAAGGCACGGCGGGGTCAGGCGCCGTTGCTTGAACAACATCGACACCGCTCGTTGCTGCTGCTGCTGCTGCTGCTGCATGCTGCTGCTGCTGCTGCAGCTGCTGCTGCTGCTGCTGCTGCACGGTAGGATTGAGGTGGCCACGGCTTGCACAAGCAGAAACGCAATACTCGGGACTCAATCAGCACTCATGATTCCCTCAAATGTGGCCGCCTGTGGACCAGCGGACCACATGGAGCCCAGCTGGGGACAGCAGCAGCACTTTGGATGGTGGTTGGCCTACGCAGCCCCGACACAGTCACTTTCAAGTCTTCCATTATTTCGTAGGTGGACTTGAAACGGTGACTTGGCGGTGTGAGGCTGCAAAAACCGATGACCACATCGCTGTATGTAAGTTGTAAGCTCTGCGACATTCCTGTTGCACACGTGCTGTCTGTGTCAAGGTCATAACAGCGAACAGTTTTTCCGTGTCAATTTGTCAAGCGGCTGAGAAGGCAGCTGGGGAATCGAACGATGTCTCACTACGACTCCGGGGAAAGCTCATTGCGCGCATGGACACACGCGCGCTTACATACTCCCGCGCACGGGTCGATTTCAGAGACCGAATGTCCATGCGGATCTTCCGTGGCCCCATTGTTTACTGTTGGTTTGGCAGAGTCCACCCTGCCCTGGAGCCAAGGTCCTGCAAAGCCTTGCTTGATGCGGGGCCCTTGTTCTGCTGAATTCGGTAAAGATAGCTATTAACAGGCTTGACAGTTACGGTTAGAAGGTCCCAGGCGCAGATGGGCTGTTGCATTTTGCCGTTACGTTGCCGATGCGTCGTCTTGGGCTATGTAGCCGACGTAGCTGTGGGAGCTTTACGGGGTCAACGATCCCGAAGGTGTAGACAAGACGCCATGGTGTGGGCATGAAAACTCGTCACATGATGCCAGGGCTTTTGCTGGCCTTGCAGCTTCTCTTTCAACTGCAGATTGGGCTGGCGCAGACTTCTGGTTTCACGGTTGCATACACCGATCATGCCAGCAGGCTTCGAGCAGACCTCCTTCGCGATTATGACAGCGTGGTCCCACCTCGTAGCGAACGAGACGTGGATTACAGCAAAGCTGGGACCGATGTGGCTTTGGAGATTCGCATCTTCAAGGTTCAGGGGGTGGACGCATCGTTGGGGCAGATGCGCCTCAAAGTTTGGGTCCGGATGTCTTGGACAGACTCCAGGCTTAGCTGGGATCCGGCTGCGTATGGCAACATCACCACAACACACTTCCGCACACAGCATGCTTCCAACGCGGAAAACACAGAAATATGGCTGCCAGACGTGCAGCTTTACAATGCCAATGTTGGTAACGAGTTCTCCTTGGACTCTGCTTTGGCATCGGTGACTTCGGACGGCTTCGTGTTTTGGAGTCGTCCTGGTCTCCTGGACACACTCTGCAAATTCTCTGGTTTGGTAGCCTTTCCCTTCGACGAGCTTTCCTGCGCGATGGAGTGGGGAGGTTGGACTTATTCGGGTGGCTTCCAAGGCATCCGGTTGAATGGCAAGGGTTATTCTGCATCAACATCGGAAGAAACGGCGGGGTCTTCCTACCAAGAGTATAGTATCGTGGAGATTGATGTGGAAGCAAAGACCAACTTCTACGAAGCATACCCAAGTGACTGGATTTGTTTTGGTTCTTGTTCAGACTTTGCTTGAGGCAACCATAATGCAACCATAATTGCGAATCCATGTTATGTACTAGAGATCGTTCTCGCGGCAACTCATGCCCGACACCTTAAATCCCTTACCCAAAGCCCAGGTGAGCCTTGGACAGTCTTGAAGTTCACAGTGAGATTGGGGCGGGCTTCCTTCTATTACTCCCTGCTGATCGTTTTCCCCACGGTGCTCATCACCTACCTCTCTTTCGGTGTGTTTTTCATGTCCCACGAGGCAGGCCCTGGAATGATACCATAGGTTTGCTAGCTAGGCCCGAAGATGTCGCAACCGAATCTCTGAAGGCGTGAGGGTTGTCTCGCAGAACGCAGTCTTTGGCACAAGACTAGGTTTCTATGTTAACGGGAGCCCAAACAAACATTTGCGTCGAACAAGAAACCCTGACCAGCAGCAAAGAGTTGGGTTGTAATTAGAAACCCGGCCGATGCTACACGACAACATGCCCTGCGGTTGCAAACGACAGCATAAACTTCTTCATGATGATATGCTGCCTATAGATGCATAGTAAATCATATTATATGGATTTTGTAGTCGCTCGCATGCAGTTTGCTACTTGCCTACCTCTACTCATGCCTGCCAACGTAGCTACTGTTTACCTACCTACCTACCTCCCTACCTACCGACCTACCCACTTACCTACCTACCTACTTACCTACCTACCTACCTCCCCACCCACCTACCTACCTACCTACCTACCTACCTACCTATCTACCTACCTACCTGCCTACCTAGTTGAATTGTCGGTATGCTTGACCCCAATCCAAACTTCAAACCCAACAGCCGATCCCCAGGCCCTGCCACCCCAAGGGTTCCGCAGTAATAAAGCAGCGCTTCAGGGTTGAGTGTGTAGGGTCGAGGTTCAGCTCCGGATCTGCTGGTTGAGCTAAGGCTTAAGTTGGGTTTTTTTCCAAACCCAGTTCGAGCTGAAGCATTGAAGGTGGGAGAGCGCTTGTCCTTCGGCATCACACTGCTTCTTGTGATCGAGGCGGGGATGCAGGAGATGAGTGAAACCAGCAGGGTTGAATGGCAGTTGTTGCGAAGGGCCAGACTGTGGAAGCATAAGAAGCACGTAGTGACGTAGCTGAGCTCAAGGTCATGAAGACGACTGGAGCTTCCTTCGTCCCTGTTTGTGGCGAGCTGCTTTGGATCGACCTTTTCATGCTGGTGAATACGGTCTTTTGTTGCGCGAGCCTCGTGGAGACCATGGTGGTGCTCTTCTTTGCGTGTCTCGATGGCTGATGGAAAAATACAGGTTGCATGTACTGTAGCATGAATGATGCAACAGGCATGTTGGATCCATGGCGATGGGTCCTAAGCAGTCGAAACCTTGCGTCGTAGCTAAGTACCGACCTCGGCCCTCAAAACCCAAAGGTGTCAGCCCTTCGTCTTGTTCGATCCTGTATCTCAAAAACAACCGAATAGATGAAAGAACATAAATGTTAACAGAGCATCGTTTGGACATTCATCTAATGGTTTTCCTAGCTTCAGCGATGTAAGAGATTCATAAGGTTCCATGTCGATCAGCACATCCTCCCCAACTGGCTTGCATGGGCTGCACCATGGTGCCTCTGCCGGCAGCAGCCGCCCCATGGGCTACATTACGGCGTCCTCTGTTAATTAGGTCTTAGATATGCATAGGGCTTACGGGTGTAGAATTCTTGCAAGTTTGGGCTTTACAAAGCACTCCGGAGATTCAGGGCTTTATGAAACAATGTGTGACAAGCGCAGGGGTTTAAGGAGAAGCCTTTGGGGGTTCAGGGTCTTTAGGGTTGAAGATTCCCGCATGCTCAACCCCGCACCCTCTTGCCCAAGCTGTGAGAGTCACAGCCCCTAGAACGTCCTGGAACCCTAACCTGAAGGTTTCGGGAACAGCCCATATAACCCTCTAAGACCAGTGGAATCCGCCAAAACATGTTTTGCAAGAGTTGTTCTAAAAGCCCCTAGATTTGGGGGAAGCCCATATACCCCCAGAAAGCCCTTAACGCCAGCCTTACAAACGCCGTCGAAACTGCAACTTTATAATTTTTAAGAATTCCCGACGCTTTTACTGGCATGATAACAACCTCATACACGCATATTATCTGGTAGTTAGCAACCCTATAAGAGCCGCTTTGACTTCGTCTTCCGGAAGGTCTATAGCAACCTTAGAATAGCAGCATGCCTATTGCGATTGTTTTTTAGGAATTCCTAAACCGTAAACCATAAACCAGTTTTGGAAAAGTCCAGGAATTACCTGGTGGAGTCGAACGCCGGCCGGATATTCCGGCAGCTGAACCGGGACAGGCTGGAGCACGGTTTAGGGTTTTGCACAACGGCTAGAGCTTGCAGAGTTTAAAGCCCGTAGGGTTTAGGGATGTCGAGGGTTTAGGGTCTATAGGGTTTAAGCATCTACAGCAGGGTCTCTGGCTTTTCGGCTTCAACTGACTAGGTTTTAGGGCTTTGGGCCTGGGACTTGAGGGATTTAGAGCATTTTCGGGTTTTGTCAACCCGTTCACTTAAGGTTTCCATGGTGGAAACTTAGCCTCTTGAGGAGTCTTAGGTACTTCGTTCCAAGGACCTTTCAACTAGGATCTAACAGGATCCAGGCCTCGAAGAGCTCGGTGTCATCATGCCCTAATCCCTTAATGATCATGCCCTGCACTTTAGGGTTTCGGGTTTAAGGACAATCTGAAACCCTATAAGAAAGAAAGAACCGAAACCCTGCCCCTGTTGTGCGACATTCCCAGGTCGGCAAGGCTGCAGGCCACTGGACGCATCGGAGGTTGCTGTTTTCTTTGGCTTTAGAGTCTGAAGGGCTCTATAGGGTTTCCATAAGTCTTGCACAACAAAGGTTTTCTGGGTGGGGGGTTTAGAATTTGCAGGGTTAGATCATGTTGTTTTGGCAAACTGTCGTAACACCCTCAACGAAAGCGAGCCAAGGCGAGCACCGCAAACAATATGCAGCAGGGACAAATGACCCTAACACCCGAAACCCGAAACCCTCCGACTCCGCACCAATAACCTCGTCTGGCTTGTCCGAGTGTGAGTGCCGAAGCCCGAAAACCAGAAGCCCTAAACCCTACAGTGTTGCACACCCTGCCCAGCGACTTGTTCAGCCATACAGGAGGCAAAAATTCTAATCCCTTGGAGTCTGCTTAGTTGGGTCGTTGTTGTGATTGCCTCAGTCCTGCATTGTCACAACGGAAACTCACATACCACATATCATAGAATAAAATGCAGTACTATATGTTACCAGGTAATACAAGTATATTTCTAAAACATAGTATGAAAGCATATGACATAGTAAATTTTGGTTTTGTATCACATACTATAATACAGCATAATAAGTTATAATATAGCATATAAGTATAAGAACAAAGTAACATATTATAGCACGATAATTATATATTCTGTCGCACCCAGCCGACTTGAAGACACATGCCTCGCCCTGAGCCCCCAAACCCTAAAGCCGGACCGAAGAGTCTCAAGGGAAGGGGCAAGGCAGAAGGCTTCAAATTACCAAGCGGCTTAGGGTTTTTGGGGTATATGTAAATCCTGAGCTTCACATATTCCGTACCCAAGGCGAAATGAGTTGTCGTAAACACTCCCAACGTGCGCATAGTTTCAATATTTGGTATTAATTAGGGTAAAATAGAGCGTAGTTGGGGTGTGCTGGCTGAGGCAAACTCTGCCCAGAATCTGCAACCCCGAAATCCAAAACTCCGAAAACCCCGAAACCCCTAAAACCGAAACCCCCGAGGCGAGGTCTACCAAGAATCTGCAGAAGGGGCGGCGCATCGAAGAGCTTTCTGAGGCGAAGCTAACTGAGACGGACACGGAACGGCTCATCTTCTTCGAGATCCTCAGCGGGGTTTCTGGGTTTAGGGGACTAGGTGTTTAGGGTTTAGGCTTAGGGGCAAAAGGGGGATTAGGTGTTTAGGTGTCTTTAGGGATTAGGGTTTAGGGGTTCCTGGGTGTGGGAGATTAGGGCTGAGATCCTGAGCTCTCGGGCTATGAGGCTTAGGTTTTTGGGGGTTTCGGCCCACCTGAACCCCAGAGCTTAAGAATCCTAGCACCCTGGATGTGGGCTTTTATTGTTGGATTGTGACTTGGGCTTTCGGTCCACGAGCCTTAGGGGCTTTGTGCCCTTTCTGAGTGTTTGTGCAAGGCTTCTTGTGAGGTTCGAATGTGTTTTAGGTCCAAACCACTCTCTCAATCATTCATGCCTTTTACATGATCCAAGTGTCAAGGAATCTCACCCGAAACCCTGAACCCTAAATTTTAAACCCTAAACCTGATAACCCCCAGACCTTATTCACCCTAAGCCTTATAAAACCCTAAACCATACAAGCCCTACAAAGCCCTAAGCCTTCTTAAAGCCCGCAAGAGCCTGAAAAGGAATCTCTTCTACCTCTTGGACTCCCACTCCAATGGCCTGATTACCGCTGAGGATGCCGCCTGCATGTGCTTTGGCCTGGCGGGCGGAGACCTGGGGGGGGGGCCTTCCTAGCGGATGGGTTTGGGGCTTATAGGGGGCCTTAGGGTTTAGGGGCTTTAGGATTTTAGGGTTTTGGAGCTTCAGGGTTACGGTTAGGGGCTCATGCCAGACATCTGTGGCCCATCCAGGCGAGAAGCATGCCAAGGGACCGCGTGTTTTTGGTTTGGCTGTTGGGCTTTGCTGTTGTTGGGCTCTGCAGCTTCGCACCAACAACAGTGAACACGCTTTTTTTTTACCGCGCACCAAGATGCTTAACAGGGCGATCTGCAACATAAACAATTTAAGCGATGTGCCGTCTGCACACTGCTCAACTTTGTACAACAATTCTATACCGGAGCAGGACTTCGCAACTCAACTGGGCCATGCAGTGCCTGTACTGGTGCCCTCATCATAGCCAGACTCTGCCAGACTCATGGCAGGGCAATCCACGCCCTACAAACCCTATGACGTTTTTCATGTGGCGGCTGCCGGATAACCCCTCGGCACAACCCTAAACCCTACCCTTTTCAGGTTGAGCTTCGTAAACCTTAGCCTGTCGCGGGGCGTCCTCGAGGACATCCTGCAATCGGCCTGGCAGGAGAAGAAATGGCTAGGGGATATAAAGCTTGGAAGGTTTTATTGCAGAATGGTTGCTTGAAGGGCTTCGTAAAGGTTTTTCAGGGGTCGGTTCATACACGAGCTTTTGTTCTAGGATTGGCGGAATATCGCGAAGGCAAATTCACCAAAGGCTTATAGAGCCCGTTTAGAGGCTTAGCAGAAACCCAGGTTTCCTTTGAGCCCTAAACCCCTCAGCCTTTGTCCGTTAAAACCCTAAACCCTGAACCCTATAGGCCTCCATGTTCAAAGCTTCGGGGCCCCCGATGCCGGAAAGGAGAAGAAACTTTTTGACTGCCGCGACTTCCTGGAGATTTGCGTGGAGCTGATGTGGACCACACCTTTCAAGGACGGACGGGCTTTTCTTTCAAGCCTTTGAGGGGTCCTTGAAGGGTTCCTTGAAGGGTCACTGTAAGGGTTCTAACAAAAAGCGTTCTATGATACACTGACCTTGACAAGGGTGCCTTAAAGGCTTAGTTACTATACGGTTCTATGAGACCCAGCCCCGAGACCCTACACTCTGTATGCATATTGCGTATATCTATATCCATATCTACATCTATGTACACTACATACAGAAGGGAAACAGTTATTACCAAGAAAGCACAAAGCAGTCATGTTGAGCATAGGAAACACCCAGCAGTTAACAGGATAAGCCAAGCCCTAGACCCTCGGCCCTGGCTTGTCCGTTGCGAGAGCGCAAACCCTGAAACCCTAAAATCCGAGAAGCCCGAAACCATTAAAAACCTAAAGCCCCAAAAAACAAAACCCAAAGCTCAAGAGCTACACAAACCTAAAACCCGAAGCCCAAAAACACTACAAACGCACTACAAAAGCCCAAACCAAAGGAGATCAAGCCCGGAACCGAAAGCTGTATAAACTCAAACCCCAAACCCGACAAACCCAAAGTCCCTAGAACCCCGAACTCCCTGAACCCAAAGCCCTAAAATCCTAAAGAAGAACCCTAGCTGAAGGAGATCAAACTTGGAGCTGAGAACTACATCAGCTCACAAACCCGGCACACGAAGCGATGCCACACCTACTGGCTGAAGTGGTCCAGGATTTAGGGATTATTGGGGTTTTGGGTTTAGGGTCGTCCAGGAGTTTGTTTTGTTGTTGTTTGAGTTGAGGGGGGGAGGGGGTTGGTGTCTTGTGTGTAGCCTCTTTTGTGGAGGGGTGGGGTGGTTGCGGTAGGGTTTTGGGGCTTTTGGGTTTCGGTGTTTAGGGGTCGGGGTCACGTGAGATCTAGCAAAGCCTATCCAGGACCGTGGACAAGTGGTCGAGATTTTGGCTGCCTTTGCTACTTGCGAGCTGAAATGGTAGCTTTTACCCTTTTGGGGCTTCTGTTTGACCGATGTTGGGCTATGTTCGCAAACTCAGGCTATATACCATAGCACTGGGCTTCCTCTTGAACCTGGAGCTTACGGACTACTACGATGATCAAGCTGGCTCGGAGATGTTTCAGGGCTTTGGGCCCATGAGTATGTCGACCCCGGGCCTGATCCAGGCCCGAAGTCACGCTTTTGCTTAGCAGGCTGAAAGGTTTTAGTAATTTAGGGCGTTCATGGCAGATGCAAGGCGGGGTGTGCAACAGTGCCAAGAATAAAATGCGGTGTGGGCAAGAGCGGTAAGGTGCATTAGATAAGCTGAGCACTGCATGCATCATGGTCGCATACACATCCCTTACTGTGCGACCTCTCTTCTGCCGTCTGGACCCGCATCATAAACCCAAACCGTCACACTCTAGAATACCTACCTAGGGGGAGGATCCACACACCCTAAATCCCAAGCCCAAACGCACAAATCGAGAAGGGAAAAAAGCCCAAATGTATAACCCCGAAGCCTCCATTCCAAAGTCCTGAACCCTTATCAAACCCTACAGGGGACAAAACCCAAGCTTATAACTGATAGCTGTAAGCCCTAGCTTATAACCTTGAACCCTAGCTTATAGCTCAAAACCCTAGCTTATTACTCTAAACTCTAAACCCTACGCTGCCTTGGATGAGCTTGCGTAGTCGTGGCCGGAGGTTCGCATGACTGTGTCACGCCGACTAAAACCTATGGAACCTCGCCTGGCTTGTCCGAGTTGTGAGAGCGTAAATTGCCAGGCTTTGATCACCCCCATCATCGGCGTGGTCTCGATCCTCACATGGCTGCAGATGCGTCGGCTCTCTAAGCAATGGCGGAAGCAGCAGAAAGCCGCCATGAAAGCTAGGGCCACTGGGCCGCAACAGGTTTAGGGTGTAATTGGAGTTGAGGGTTTAGGGTGTAGAGTTTAGGGCTTGGGCTTAACTTTTTTGCATAAAATACGGTTCAGGGTTGAGGGGTTGAGGGTTATGTCATACTACCTTACTATGTGGTATTGCAGTATAGTATGCCTTGTTTTTGAAGTCTATGGACCAATAGGACAGAGATGAGATCCCGAAGGGTTCTTCTGAATCCCTGCAGTGCACGAGTTGATGGCTCATGATGGCCTTCAAGTTGTCCAGAAGTTCTGCTGATCCAAATGTCATCAAAGAAGCGTTTCAAGCTGCGCCTGCCCGCATCTTCACGCAAAAGCCGGCCCTAGCCCTAGAACACACACACACATTAAGTTGGAAACCTATAGACCCTGAATTTCGAGGCCGCGTAGCAACTCGTTCAGCAAGGCAGCAAGTAACAAACAACACTCCAAGCCCTAACCCCCATCCCACCTCCCACTGCCCCTCCCCCAACCAAAAACAAACTAAACCCTCCACCCAAAGCCCTAAACCCCTAAACCTCAAACCCCTCCACCCTAAACCCTAAACCCCCAAAGCGACGCAAAGGACCTGGATCCCGAAGATTCCGGCCGGGCGAAGCCGCGATGGACTCTTTTGCCGGGGACCTAGGGTTTAGGGTTCAGGGCTTTTGCTCAGGTCTGTGCTGCATGGTTTTTCTAGGATGTTGCGCGCAAGGTCGTGATGTTGTTGTGCCTACTGCTACATTGCGACAGCGAGACTACATTAACTCAAGTATGCTTCCTAATAACCGTTGCTGTTGTGTTTGAGACTTTGAGACCAAGAAAAAAAGCCTTGCGGCTGAGCAGCCTCAGAGCAACTCCGCTCACCCCAGAGCAGCTCTTCCTGGGCCGACAGGTCTGAGGACGGCGACGTCTATGGTGCGTCCATGGGCGAGGCGCATAGACCTCGGGAGTCATAGAGTCATAGGCTTAAGCCGTAAACCTTCATACCCTATTAGCTAAACGGCTAAACACCTCAAAGACTCAGCAAACCCTTATACGCCATAAAGCCCTCAAGCCAATTTTGAAGCCTTACTCGCCGCAAAACTCCAGGCCCGAAGCCAAGACCCCAAAAAGTACAGAAACCCCAAACCCCAAACCTTACCCACCCTAGAACCCCAAACCCGAAACAGAAAACCTTAACCTGTCGATTTCGCATTTGAGAAAACAGGGGACCCTCATGTGGAACCCCAGATAGTGCGATCCTCATTGTTGCCTCAGGATCTCCTAACCCTTGGAGGTTCTGGGCTTAAAAGGGCCTAGGGGATAGATGTTTTTGGGTTTGGGGTTTAAGGGCGATCCCATGTCCTTGAAGTAAGTATCTAGCTGGGTGTTCCTCATGTTTGCATGTTTCTTGTAGCCTGGAAGATGTAAGTCCAAGGAATTATTGAAATCATCTTCCAATACTGTACTCTGTATATCACGGTTCTAACAGGCTTTTCTCGTCATGGTGATTCAGCGGTTATCACATGGTCTCTGTGGGGGTCGTTTAGACGAAGGATTCAAAAGGTGTGAGGGCGCTTGGTGCCTCCGGGGCGAAGGCTATTCGGGCATTGGGGTTTTCGGGTTTTTTGGCTTTACATGGGGCTGCCGTGCATGGGTTCGGTCTTAGCTTGTGGGGTATTAAGGTTCTGAGACCAGTGAATGTACAGGAGTTTACAAGAATCCAATCAGTGCGACGAGGAATGGTCTGCTCAGGGCAACCTCTCCTAAACTACAACTCTGTTAGTCAAAAAGCCAAACGGCCTCAACGAAGCATCTCCTAGCAAGTTCTAGCCCGTCTATATAAAAGCTGCGCGCAGCAGAAGCCTGACCTGAAACGAAAACAGAGCGTGCCATCCATGGAGGTATACTCTGAGCGTGTCCTTGATGAGCGTGTTGAGGAGGAGGACTTCCAAGATGTCCCCGTCTCACCGCGCCTAATAAAATAATGTTCCTAATTATTCAGGCCCCTGCATTGATTCTCTATATATAGATATACAGAAAATAACACACTGCAGG